GGGGGGGGGAGAATAAAGCGAAGTACACGATAAGTAGTTCTCCATCCGCACAAGCCAAGGAGTGACGTGCTATTATCTCGCTGTCAGTAGTCACAACCTCTCAGCGCTCAGTCTCCACCATCAGTTAGACTCATTGTACACAAATGTTTGCAATCTATTGTCTTTTCATTCTTTCTGTTTTCCAAAGTTTGACCCAGCTCCTAAATGAAACTCGACAGGCGCCCCCTGGTGACACTTAGCTTTGTTGCCTGAAAAAAAGTATGGATAAACATATCACCATGTTTGACTTTTCTTCCGGAACGCTTCATAAACATTTTCATGCCAATTTTCCTTCCCTGTGGGTTCTAATTAAGCAAACCTGTTTGCAATGAATGTATTTGCATTTTGTGTCAGAAACGTTTTATCATAGGAGCAGTCAGTTGTACTCTCATTGGACTTTGAAGATAAAATCATTTCTTTTTAACCTACACCCAAACGCAAATGAGCATGCATTTTGTTTGGGGTTTTCTTTTAGGGTTTTGGCTTTGCTTTTCTTTTTTTCTTTTTTTTTCTTTTTTTTTTACAGATTTAGTTTGGTTTCGGGTTTGTTTGGGTTTTTTTAGTTTGAAAGGGGGCGGGGGATTTTCCTTTATCTTTTTCCTAGAGAGGTTGGGGGGGGGGGATGGAAGAAGGATTATATTTTTAAAAATAATATTTAACGACTACTCCGAGACGGATTATGTGTAAACAGAAATCGATGACGTACTCTCTTTTTGCAAGGCAGATAATTTTTACTGCCAGCGACATTGATACTCTTGTCAATTTACAGAAGATTGTTTTGATACAGTTTGTGGGATAAATGTAGATCTCACTTTATGTGAGTAATTTATAATAGTATTTTCAGAATTTAAAGGACCTACATCACTTTGAAAACAGTTTATGTCTCTTCTCTTTCGTTTCATCAGATAAACTGACCCATCCTTGAGGTGGAGTGGCAAACTATAATATGTGTCATAATGTTGGTATAATCTTAAACCCAGCTCATTTACCTCACTGGTGATGGAAGAAAATATCCATCTGTCTTGAATAGAAGTCGAGATATTTGTAACTGAAGGAGGTGGGGGTCGTTTGGTGTTAGAGGAAAAATTTTCATGAAAATGGCAGCAAAAGTTTTAATGACTTCCAAAGCTGTGTTGTCCTTGGAGTTCACAAATTTATATTTATGTGCCTTTAATCATCGTTTTTCTGTAAAAATGCTTATGGGAATGTGTTTTAGAGTAAACTGAAAAGGTGTTGACCTCCCTCCCAAATGTAGATAAATACATAAATAAATTATATAAATAATCCACAAAAACTGCCAAACGTGCGGGAAAATATTGATTTCGTCTCTTTCAATATCTTGACGAGCATCTGATTTCACCGCGATGGCTCACATATATAAGAAGCATTAGAAGATGTGTACCCCAACACATTGCACAGTCATGGCCGCCCGTCATTTCTCTCCTTTAAAACCGATCTGCTGATAGCTTGTGTGCTGTTGGTTGCACCATTACTCCCAAGTAATGGCCGAAACACCCGTCTCGTTATAGCCGAATGCAGGCGGCACATTTACTCCCTTGCCCTCCATTTGTTTCAAATGGTGCGCTATAAAGTGGATCGGAAATGTGTCAGCAGAGTTCCTGGTTGGGGATATTTTGTAATGATAAAAGTAATAATCATAATAATCATTATCAGAAGAAGAAGAAGAAGAAGAAGAAGAAGAAGAAGAAGAAGAAGAAGAAGAAGAAAAAGAAGAAGAAGAAGAAGAAGAAGAAGAAGAAGATGAAGAAGAAGAACAAGAACAAGAACAAGAACAAGTAAAAGAACAAGAACAAGAAAAAGAAGAAAAAGAAAAAACGAACAAGAAGAAGAAAGAAAATGGGGTTCACATATCAAAAAACAAAAATGGCATAAATTGACGCTCGAATAAATCAGTGGAAATGATTTAATCTCTCTTAGACTACTTGGCAAAGAATTTCAGATTTTGGGGGCTTCATATTTAAATGCCCTTTCCCCCCATTGTTATAACTGTCAAAGGCGGTAAAAGAAATTAATTCTTTTCGTCAGCTGTTGACCTTAGACTGTGAGTTGGAATGCACAGCTCCAACAGAATTGATAAATATGATGGCACAATATCATGGAAGCATTTGTAATATAGCGTGGAAGTATTCCCGTTTATGATCCTAACAGCATTAATGGTGTGGTGGTCCCTTTAACGATTCTCGCTCAGTAAAATGGCAGTGTCCGTGAAATCTGAAAAAAAACAACAAAACAACAAAACGCTAGAAGTACAAAGGTAGTAATTGTCTAACAATCTCAGCGTTTAACATCACATGGCTCTCTGTCATTCGTCTCGCCACGCCGTCTCTGCCTTTCATCCTGTCAATAATTGTATATATACCATTCCCCACATATGACTCAACTCATAAATACGTGCCTGTTTTCCTTTATTAGCCACGTGACATTTTGGAACTTTTCAACTCTCTTCCTTAGTCTGTGTACTTGTCACTATAGTATTTTATCAGCTTGTCTGTCAAATTTTTATAACACACCTTCTGCTCAAACTATTTTTCTGACATCTTTGAAATGAAAGCCACTTAAGGTATCCGATTTTGATTTGGAATCAAACAAATCAGCAGAAAAGAGAAATAGACAGAAAGCAGTAAAAGAAAATGGGAGTGGATTGGACTTACATTGAGAAAATCGAGTATGACCATTACACACTAAGCTTAGTAATGAATCGACAAGGAAAGAGAAACGGAGAAAGTCCTTAAAGGATTTAGAGGAGGGACTTGAGATTTGGGCATAAATTAGATTGGAGACTGCTGGACAAGATAGCAGTATAATATGGATAGCTTTTGCTGAAGTCATTTACTTCTGAAAGAGGTGAGAAAGGCTTTGTGTATTATCGTTCTGTTCCACCTTACGACAGCCTAGTTTGTGCGAATTTTTCTTTTCACTGTCTTAGTGTTGTCTTCACGTGCCCTTATATTTGTTTGTCTGTCTGTCTGTCTGCCTGTGTGCCTGTCTATGTCTGTCCAAGTCTCTGTCTCTGTCGCTCTATCTCTCCTCTCTGTCGCTTTCTCTATCTCTCTCTTTCTTTTTCTCTCTCTCTCTCTCTCTCTCTCTCTC